CTCCCGCACGCAGCGCCCGGAGGGGGCCGGGGGCTGGCGCTGGCCCGGGGCGGCGTCCAGTGTCTTGCTGACCTGGGCGCTGGACACTGAGCCGTGCATTCACTTGAGGGGCACCGAGAAAGCCCTGTTTGTGTTTCTTCAGTTTTCGCTTCATTTTCGCTCCCCTCAGGGGTTCAGCGGTGGTCAGGCCTTGCGGTTGGAGGGGGCGCGGCGACGGGGGGCGCCGGCGGGGGGCCGGTGTGCTTCCGGCTGTGGTGACGGTTGTTTCCCCTTTTCAAAGATCATGGGAAACGCCTCTGAGTTCCAGAAGGCAGTCAAGCTAGTGATCGACACAGTTTCATTTGACAAAGACTCCACCGTCCAGGTCTTCGAGGCCACGATCAGGTAACGGGCGGCCAGAGCCGGGCGCAGTCACGCACGGGGCAGAGACCCCACGGCCACGACAGCTGCACACGCCGCTCGAGGGGGCGGGGGGCCCCGCCGTCGCCGCCTGGCTGGTCTGGCCCGCGTCCTCCCTGGCGGTCTGAGCCCTGCTGTTCTGAGGGAGGTGCGGGCCCGCGCCCCGCCTTGTGCAGCAGCCCCGCCCCCGCCTCTGCCCTGGCCCCGTCCGCACCCAGCGTGTGCAGACTTCCGTCTGGAAGTGCCAGAGCCGCGGGCCGCCCGCCCGGCTGCCGCCTCTCTGGGGGAGCTCGTCAGCTGCCCGGCAGCCCAGCCACGGCGTTCTGGCCGTTCGGTGTCTGTCCCCAAGTGAGGAAAACCAAGAGCGATGCCCGAAGACTCAAGGTGGCCTCCGTGCCGGGCTGAGCCGGGGCCAGGCTGGGGCTCAGCGCCCGCGTCCCGCCCTCGGCCGCGCCCCGAGTCCAGAGGGCTCGGGCGGCCTCTGTCCTCTCACCGCAGTGTGGGCTCGCGCCCGACGGGCCTGCGTCCTCTGTTCTCTCGTCACCAGGGTCCTGGGAAGCCTCCTTTCTGCCCACAGGATCATCACCGACTCCGCGCAGCCCTTCGGAGACATGACCGTCCAGGGCTACGACAACGAGCTGCTGCATCTGGCCCACGACCTGGCCGTGAGGCTGCTGCCCGCCTTCGAGAACACCAAGACAGGGATCCCCTATCCTCGGGTGGGTGGGAGGTCTGCTGTGGCAGCTCACTGCCTCCCTACGTGTGACTTGGTTGGCTCATTGGGGCGGGGGCCGGGCAGCGGGAAAGGCAAGAGTGTTCTTGCCGGAAGTTGGGCCTAAATGTGAAGAAAATGCCTCGTGCCGCAGTCAGTGTGAATGGAGCGCCTGCTGCGTGCTGGGCGGTCACACGCTGGCCTGTCCTTCCCCGGGGAGCTTTGTTCCCTTGCTTACTTTTCTAAGCCTTTCCGCGTGCGGGGTTTGTGGGCCCCGCCGCCAGGCACTTTGACCCGATCTGCAGACATTCTGCCTTCGTGGCAGCTGGGTCTCTGCCTAGACCTGCCTGGGAACTGACTCAGCCTTGGGGGCCCGTGGGGACTCCGGGCTGCAGGGCTTGGGGGCGACACAGGCCGCTGTGCGCCGCGGGAGCCGGCGTGGTGCCCAGTGGCCGCTCGGCCCGAGTGGCCCGGCCTGTTCCCGAGCACCCCTGCAGCCTTGCGAGGCTCTGGCCCCTGGTGTCTCCACCGAGTCGAAGCGGGCGCGGTCCTGCAGCGGAGTGGCCCTGAGCCGTGCGCTCTGCCCCCAGGTGAACCTCAAGACCGGCGTTCCCCCGGACAGCAACAACGAGACCTGCACGGCGGGCGCCGGCTCGCTGCTGGTGGAGTTTGGGGTCCTGAGCCGCTTGCTGGGGGACTCCACGTTCGAGTGGGTGGCCCGGCGCGCCGTGAAGGCCCTCTGGGAGCTCCGAAGCAACGAGACGGGGCTGTTAGGTGGGTGCCGCCGCTGCCCGCTGCTCTGTGGTCGGGTCTGGAAGCCGAGGCCCCGCCGGGCCGCTGCCGCTTCTCCCTGACACGCTGGTGGGCCTCCAGGCTGGCCGGGGGCGCCCTCCGAGCCCGCCCTCGTGTCCCTCCGCGAGTCACTGCCAGTGCAGACGGCTGTGCGTGAGGCGCCCCACTGGGGACGCAGGGCCCGAGGCTGGCTTCTCCGCGGCTCGGCGGGGGTCGCGCCGGCCGCACCGGCCTCAGTCGGCTGTCCCCGGAGCCGGCCAGCAGGGAAAGGCCAGCGGGTCACCTGTGCTGGCCACCGCCTGCGGGACCGCCGCGTCCTGCTGACTCCGCGGAGAGGCCCTCTGCTGGGGTCTCACGGCTGCGGGAGCCCCGGGTCCCCGCCGTAAGCAGCGCTTTTTGGGGTGCTCTTTCCTTACCCCTGCAAGTTTGAAGTGTTTATCACAGCGGGGATGAACACATCCCCGCCCGTGGCCAGGCTCAGGCGCGGCTGGCGGGCGGCTGGCGGGCGGCTGGCGGGCGGCTGG